GACATGAGGGATGATCAGCAAGCTATTAGTTTGGAGCAGGTTATGTTGCCCATAATGCAACAATTCAGGGAGATCGAAACATGTATTGAGTGCTCTGCGTACAAACTAATTCAGGTAAATGTGATTTCAGTTTTTCAAACTATTTATGGGATACCATGTATTAACTGCCAATTTCCATTCCTCGCATTATACTACATGCACATAAAAGCTTCATTTCTTTACTAAAATCATCATTTCAAAGTTCAAACGATACTTTCTTTTGGAATGGGAAGTAGTCATCAAGATATGTTGAGTTTTTTATGATTTTTTGGAGTTCGAGCATTTATGTTATCATGTCTTTGATTGATAGACTGGATGTACTGCTAAAGTGTAGATCTTATGCCATTATCTCCAACAACCTGAAGCCGACGACTACTTGCAGGTTTCTGAAGTTTTCTACTACGGACAAAAGACTGTTCTGCACCCAACTGCTCCACTGTTTGATCAGGAAGCTCAAACTTTAAGACCAAGATGTGTGAGAGCTTTGAAACGAATTTTCATTCTTTGCGACCATGATAGGGATGGAGCCCTTAACGATTTTGGATAACTTTCAGGTTTTATATTTTGGAAAAATTTAAAACATTACTTCAACAATTGCTCTCTTTTTACGAAAAACACTCCAGCTGCCCTTACTTGCACAATCTTATTTTACAATTAATATGTAGATGGATTTTTAAATTGATGACTTGAAAAAAAATCTCTTCTTTTAGTTTTCATAAAAAACTTATTTACTTATTCCTCCAACTCAAATATCAATTACGTGTCTCCCAATTAGGTCTTGTTCTTTTCGGTTGGAATTCTAAAGTTGGATCTTTGAAAAGTTGGAAGATGTTCAAAAAAACTAGAAAAAGTTAGAAAGTGTTGGAAAAAATAAATGTTAAAAGATTGTGCAAGTGAGGTGGTTTGTGGAGTGGTTGTATAAAAAGAGAGCAATTGTGGGAGTAATGGTGTAATTAATTGATTTTCGGAGTATTATTGTACAATCAAAGATTTTTTGAAGTATTGTTGTAAATTATTCCTTATATTTTAGCCCTTTTCTATGTATGCTGGCTTTCTTGCTTTATACTCCGTAATAGATAATGAGTTGGAGCTCATGAATTCTGCTTTTGTTGGGTGATTCTTTTGGTGGGGAAAATTGCATAGGTCAAATGTTTCAATGCTCCATTGCAACCTTCAGAAATAATGGGGGTTAAGAAAGTGGTGCAAGATCAAATGCCCGAAGGAGTCAACAGTCGTGGCCTTACGTTGACAGGTTTTCTCTTTCTCCATGC